CGCCTGCACGCGCTCCCACGCGCGTCTGGAGCGTTCCACGCGCGCGCACGCGCTGCCACGCGCGCACTAAGGGTACCTTGCTGACGCGGCGTGTGCTGGTTGGTCGGTTGCATCATCCTACTATGGGTGCGCTACACTGAATCAGCTCACCCTCTCATCACTCAATCCTGTGCTTATGGATCCGGGTGTACCGCGGTAACATGGACCGCGATGCACCGGATCAATCAGACTCTACTAATGGCCAGGATGCGCGCGCGCACTAACCTACCATGCGCCGCATCACACCGGATCACTCCGGTCACCTTCTTCACTGCCGGTGGCCGGAATCCTTGCCGGAGGCTCGCCGGAAATTGCAGAAAAGCCCCGGAAAATTCCTAAAAATTCTAAAAAAAATCCCAAAGGCCATAATAATTATTTTTAGCTATATTTTGATTACATAGGCCATAAAATAATTGTTGACCACCTTTAATAATTAAAATTCCTTTCTTTAATAAATAAAAAAAATTTAATTTAATAATTTCCTAGCATGATCTCTAAGCTCTATAATTATTTAAATAATCTAAACAATTAATTTATGGATTCAAAGGGGAAAAGTAGATAATAACTTGCCTTTTTGGATTTAAAATAAATCCGCCGGTCTGCGCGTAGTCGGGTAAATTCCCTACACCGGTCCAAGCTCCTTTCTTTCTCTCTCTTCCTTTCCACACTTTTACAATGGCTCACTAGAATTTTGCTCTTCTACTTACGTGAGTTTCTTTCAAATTGTAACTAACTAACTAATATATACTAATTTATATAATATATATAATACAAATATCTAACTTAAACATTAACTTTCAACATTCCCACCTATATGGCTTTAAGACAATGCCATCTTAATCAAGATATTTGATCCACCATTCTACCATAGTAAATGAAATTCTATCCTAATATTTAATTTTCCATCATTACATTGATTTAATATTCTTATTATTATAACTATTATTATTATTAATAAACTTTTATAATTATTATTATTATATTATTATTATTAAACTAATATAATTATTATTATTAATAAAATAATACATTATATCATCATAATACTATATAACACAAATATAATACTTTACTTAACTAATAATGATTAATATAAGCATAACCAACAAATAAAATTATTAATAATAATACATGCATAATTACATGAACAAATTTACTATTTTAACATACACAATTAATTTACATGCACAATTAAATGAACTTAATATAATAATGTAGTATGCACAAATAAATAAAATTAATTAACCTAACACAAAATTAATTTAAATACATTCTTTAAAATTAAAATTACGGGGTATTACACGGGAGTTGTCACTTTTTGAAAGCTCATGGAGTTTAGTGCAATTTGGCCTATGGTTTTTGGTAAAATATCATAATTAATCAATATAATATGCTTAAAAAATGCATAAATTAAGGAGAAACTTTGCCGAAATTCTGTTAAAACTGACTTAAACCACTATTTCGATGAATTTGGTAGAAAGTATAGCATGTTTTAGGTTATTTAATCACATAGTTTCATGTATTTTAGGTTTCATGGTCTAAACATAATCTTAGGAGACTATTATTATTCTACGAAATTCTGATAAAATCCAAAATTATCAATTTTACATATTATTCAAAATCATGTTTTTTCAAAGAGTTTTCATGGTATTTTAAAGCAAAACATCAATTATAGAATTTCATTTTTTAGTCTCATGAAACCCTACAAATCTCTCTTAAACTGTCATTTTACCGAAAAATCGCCAGTACAATAAATAAAAAAAGAAAAAGAAAAAAAAAGATCACAATTACAAATTTCAAAATTTTGAATTTTTTTACTATTTTTATAAAGTTTCAATGATTTTTAAAGAAAAAAAAGAAAATTATGTTTTAATCATCCCAAAATGGTCTTTTGACCATGGATTTGATCCGAATTTTGTCCAAATTGTGAACGTGTCACTATTTAGTCCACGTTTTTCAATCATAAATAATAATTCTAGGTTCATTAGTATTATGAAAATCACAAAAAAAAATAGATTATCATCATTACGTTCTCATGTCTATATTGTATTCCACAGTATTGTTGAAATTCCAAAAAGGCCCCATTTTGTCTCTAAAAACATCCTTTTCAAAATAAAACCATTTTCAACATTACGTCCCTTTCATATCCTAAGTACTTTTATCTCAAAATTTGAATTTTGACAATGTTACAGGTTGGAACAATGATGGTTTTATTGCATAGCTTTAATCATTCATTAGGAACACTTTTTGGGCCCAAAATTGGGAATTTTTAAGCACATTACATACTAATAATCACATCACCAAAACATGGCAATTAGGTTCATTAAACATCAACCAAGGACGACACTTGTAACGATTTTGCAAAAGCTGTTTATGATTTTTTCAAAATCTTGAATTTTTTTTTTTAAAATAATTCCAAAATTCATAAATATTTTCACATCACTTTTACATTCAACAATCATTCCTTCAAACATTTACAAAATCATTTTTCAAAACAAAATTATGCCACAATTACAATAGAGTACCCTAAGTTAAAAAACATATCTTTCCAATTACTCCTGCTGAATAGGTTAACTCATGTCGTCAATCTCAACATTCATTATGCCACATTGGCATCATAAGTGTGGGCCTTCAAAATATGTCTAATCTTATTTCAAACTAGGCTAATGAGTTTTTTTTTTATTTTATTTACACTATGACCTATAATTTTTGTTAAGATTTTTAAAATGTCCCCATTCAAATTTTAAAAATGCCCCTATTCAAATTTTAAAAAAACTCTACTACTAATTCTTGCCCCCACTGATATTTATGGGTATTAAAAAAGTAAAGTAGTTGAGTCTCTCTCTTTTGTTTTCTTACCCTACCACCGTCACATCTGCGGTAATTAATTTACTCTGGATTTGTTTTTTAGCATCTGTCACTATATAGGGCATTTTTTGCTATGAATATTGTAAACAATTGATTACGTAATCCAATGATAGATCAAAGAATGAGTTTATATGTTGAAAAAAAAACGATATTTGGTAGCATGATAATGAAGTATCATAAAACGTTCTCAAAATATGAAAACTTGTCGAAAATAATTATAAATGTACTTTATAAAAATATCAATTAATGTTAAGTTCTTTTGTTTATTATGATAGTTTAAAAGAAAAAATAAAATAAAAATCTTGTTGCTGTTGAAGGTCACCCACCTCTCGCCTAATTTTCTGGCTCCATCACTGGTAGAGGGAGAATGTGTTACAAAACTTCGTCTTACAATGGAGTTTAATGTTATTTTCAAACTAGATGAGAAGTCTATGTAATTTTAGCAAATCTTAGGATTAAATCCCCCAAAAAAAAAAAAAAAATAAAATAAAAAAATAAATAGAGATGCAAGGACCTATAGCATGCTATTTCTTTGACTGAGTGTGTTATTACAATGAATCACCAAGAAGTTGACCAAATTTTTAAGCAATAAAATTATTATCAATTGGGTCCATAAAGAATTTTAGTTTGCTCCTATTCGGTATTGCTTTAGAAAATTCAAATCTGTTGGAGAAAAATAATCCATTATTATGGTATAGTCTCTGAGATTATATATCAATACTTCATTCACACATACACATATATGTATAGAAGTTCTATTACCTAAAAGAATATAAAAAGAACATAAAAAAAGTCACCTTGCATGACTGATCTAGTGGATAAGAGGACTCAAGGGACGAGCTGTAAACTCGAACGTCCTGAGAGTGCTACTCCATTATTTTGAGGAGATGAAGAAGAGCACACAAAGCAACAATTTAAACCACTAAAAATAAAAATTTGTGCAAAGAAATCATATTTGATAATTTTCTAAATTTTAGATTGCATTAGTAAAATCGTTGTATCAAAGAATTGACTATCAAAATTGATGTTAACATTCATTTAGAATGTATTGCACACTAACAAAATTTTATCATTTATTCCATTTCACATGATTTAATATTTGACAAACACATTTTGTCTCCTTTTTTAGGTATTTTGATTTGATCTTTTGTATTTGGACTGGTTTAGATGTATCATACTCTTGCACTCAACATTGAGTGTCTTATAATTGTTGTACCAATCATATAACCATAGACTACCATTTTGGTTCAGTCTGATGTAAGTTTCTCCCCCAGTTACATCATTGGGAGCTGATATTGTCATTTTCAAGTTTGTTTTTTTCCATGCAATCCTTAAAAATAATAATAATAAATAAATAAATAAACACCTTAGTTGCACTTAACTCTCATAGTCTCTCTCTCATGTGCTATTTTTGTGTTGAATAACCCTTGAACTATTTTTTTGACAGGAGCTGAAGTATGTATATATATATATATATATACACATAAAAAGTAAAATAGTAATATTTGGATCGAAAAGTTAAGCAGAATTTTTTGATCGAATCCATTTTATTGGTGAAGTGGAGGGTCTCACTTTCTTATATTTGATATGCCTCGACAAATTAAAAGCATTCGATTAAGAAATTCCCCCACCTTCCCGTCTTTAAAATCATTTACCAAGAAAGTTACATCTTATTCCAGTTATTAAAGGTAAAATGACCATATTGCCAGTTTTAAAGAAAAATATTTTAGTAAGTAGAAGAAAAAAAAAATCAAAATAGGCAGTCAGGTCCATTTTTTCCCCTTAATTTCAATAAGGTCATTTTATCTCATTATTTTAAAGACAACTAACACAAGGGAGAAAAGTGTAATTTTCTTTTCGATAGTTCAAGGGAGTTTTCTCTCAAAAACATAATTCGTAGAGGTTATGTGCCACAAATTTATAGGACATGTGAGTTGAGTGCAATTAAAAAAAAAAAAAAATTGATAACAATAACATACAAATGACATTCCCAAGGTGTTAGAATATTTACATTTTCAGAAACTAGTTCTCAGAGTGAGCTGATCCAAATCAAGTGCTTCAACTAACAACAGAAATTAATCGCACAATTGTCATACACAATTAATCAGTAAATGAATAAATAAAATTGTATGAGTCAGTACAAAATCATTTGCTTCAAGATACAAAGTAAGGAGACACCACTGAAACAGAATCAATTTGAACTAAAAACGGATTCAAACCGTGATAAATTTCAAGAGCCAAAAACGGATTCAAACGTATACGTGTTAGGAACACAAACCTCAAAAACTGGCATGAATAGATATGTGATGCACCGGCTGGTTTTAAAATAGCACTGCACAAAAATAACTTAAATAAACGGTTAGCACATGAGGTGATGCAAGTTCCCCTTCCCGTTCAAAACTGTGAACTGTGTTCACGCTGCAATGCGAGACTGAATAAATTACATACTACAGTAAATGCATGCGCTCCACGTATGATTGGATTAACCATCTACTAAGAGGCTCCCCGCAGCTAACAAAACACCCTGAATTACCATTCTCAGTGAAAAATGGAAAGCTAAATATATTCAGCAATTCCTGCACTGACTGCCTTACCAAAGAAGCTCCTGTCACCTTGCTCCGCCGGCCCCATCCCGTCACAATGTCAATGCGGCTGGGACAATTCCCTGACACAAGCATCTGCCTGTGAAACCAGGCAAGTGTCCTTGACAGTGCTGTCACAGCAGTTCCATCCGACATAACATGCAAGTTTATCAGCCAATAAGATGAGCTTTTCTCTCTAACTGCATCTGGATACACATTCTTCTGTGCGGCCACCTCCCAAACAGATCCAGCCTCCTCCTTGAGCCCAGATTTGTGGAGAAAATCGACCACTGCATCCACAAGACCCCTCTTGCTCTCTCTATCTTCACTGTGCATCAGGTCTAAGAAATTGGTAACATGATCCCGCACATTCTGGCCATCAGGTCCAGATGACGGCATGGACAACAGGAACATATGTGCTGGGTGGCCCGTGACTGCCATGAGCTCACCACAAAACCCCATGTCAAAAGATGTTTGGGCTTCAGTACAACAACTAAGTAGCAGGGTATAAGTTTGCAGGGAAGGGTTCAAACCCAAACTAAGCATGCTCTGGAGCAAGTTATATGCATCTGACAGCCGGTGTACCCTAAGGAAAGCACTAAGCAGCGAATTGCATGTGGGCACATTAGGGCGTAAACCCGCGTTGAGCATCGCTCGATACCATCCCCAAGCCTTTTCTGCATTCCCAGCCTTTCCCCAGAGGTCCACTAGAAGACCATAAACAGGCTCATCTGGAACCCAGTTCTTCCGCATCATCTCAGTAAAAATTGCCTCTGCTTCTTCAAGGTACCCACAATGGCCAAGCACCTCCATAACTATGCTGTAAGTCACTTTGTCTGGTTCAAATCCAGCATTCTGCATGTCACGATAAAGCTGTAATGCATGCGGGTAGTTCCTCGCCTTGGCTTGCAAAGCAATCATAATATTATATGTAACTAAGTTGGGAACACAGCCCTGATCAACCATCTCGCAGAATAGCTTGTGGGCAGCAGCCAAATGGCCAGCTTTGCCAAGGCAATTGATGATGACACTATAAGTGAAAGTGTCAGGAGAAAGGCCAGCCCGTTGCATCCTCTGGTACATTTCCATGGCAAAATCAAGATAGCCGGCTTTTGCATGGATGTCAATGAGTGTACAATATGTGACACGATCAGGTTCACATCCTGCTTCCTGCATCTGATTGAAAACATTGACTGCTGCATTCAAATAGTTTGCACGGCCATAACTGTGAATGATACGGTTATATGTCACAACATTGGGCTGACATCCATCCCGGATCATCTGTTCGAGTAACTTGTTTACTGCACCAAACTGTTTGGCGCGGCCAAGGATGCCAACCATGGTGGTGTAAGTATGCCCATCATGCCTGAATCCGGTTTGTCGTTTTAACCAATAGAAAAAGGCAAGAGCAACTGAATGGTCTTGAACCTGCTTAAGTATTTGGTTTGCTTGATATGCATCCATTGAACAGTTGAGTTTTTTAAGAGCCTCCTCTGTTGCGGGGCCCCATTTTAACTGTCGCAATATATGAGTAACTTTTTCCACCAGATGACCCGTGCTGGGAAACTGATTAGCCGTTGGAGCAACTCCTTTGGGTATTTTTGCATCTCTTGGGAGCTTCTTGAAAATTTCTGTAGTTTCCCTAGAAATATTTCCTTCTGAAGACTGTATGTTGGAAATGGAGCAGTTTGAATAAGCTTTTGATTTCTGAGGAATATACCTTTTCCTATCATGAGAATCTGAAGATTTACCATGCATCCCTACTGAATTCACTGTGTCATTAACATGGTTTACACCTTTAACTGAGACAAAACTTTCACCTCTACCTTTTACATCATTAGAGTTGCTTGTGGGCTCAGAACATGATGTTGTCCCAGCAGATGGATTTCCACGAATTTTGTCTTTTCTGAAGTTTTTTACATTTGAGGGTTTGATATTGGAAAGAGGCCTTGCAGGATTGACCATACAATTGTGGGGAGATGAAGGCATTCCACTCTCATCTGACAAAGGAATTTTATAATTTACTAAATCAGACAAAAAACTCACTGCGGCAATACCTGCCCTGACAAACTGGTCGGCAATAGGAGGTGAATGCACCATCTCCTTTTGAACAGCAACTATGCTACCAGCATAGCTGACACAGTCTGCTCTCCCTGAAGAATTGTTAGCAGATATAACCTGTGGTAAAGAAGCTGAGCAATCAACACCCTCAGCTTTGTGAGAATTCACCACCTTCACTGCATCTCCCGAAACCAGAGAACCTACTTTTGTTGAAGTTTCGGGTACTAGGGTGGATGGTGTTTGTGCATGTCGTGCTTCATTCCTCGTATGCTGCTTTTTCGTATGCTGCTTTTTTGAAACACAAGTTTCATCTTCAGGACTAGTGCATGAACTTCCATCTGCTGCACTACGTGGCCCACCAAGGAAAAAGGACCTGGCAGATTGGGAAAGGGTACCAAGTTGCTTTGTTCGTAACATAATCTGCATTTAAGGAAAACAAACAAAAGAAACAATAACACCACCATCCATGAGAAGGCTTTTAAATGTCATGGAAAACTTAAAACCACCATAAATTGTCCTTCATTGTAAGCATGAAACCACATTCATATGTTCATTTGCTAGTGTAATTCACTTAAAACTACACTACTTAAGCCATCCACAGATCACAGCCCCAACATGGCTGTAAAAAGCAAAAAGGAAGACACTAGACATCCTCATCATAGTTGTAGACGTATGAAACATGAAGATCCTTTAAATAGTTTTATTTCCACAAAAAAGGAAACTGTTAATTGAGCAAACATACTGCTGACAGCCAAGTGGAGGCGAATCTGATTAAAGTCAACAGATGATTTAATTGGAGAACATGTTCTACAAATAAGAGAACATGAGATTGGAGAAAAACTATACTGGAATACCAGCTACTGAAAACATATCAATTACAGTAGCCAACAAGGAAAAAAAAAGAATATCACAAGCAATATGAAGCTGATGAATGTTGTCATACATCTGAAATCATGGCCATCACATACAAAATAGGAAGTATGGTGCAAAAATTGCCTTCTTGGTGTGCTGAAACTATTATTGATTTGCTATTAATGCTTGTACAAAAATTTCTAAAGCATCACATACTGTGTCAAATTTATTTATCGTGTAAAATATTTATTAGCAGAATGGTGAAACTTTTTAATGCAAAGATAGTGAGTCAACAAGGAACTTAGAAGTATAAGTAATCGTTAATTAATAATGGAATGAACCGTAAAATTTCAGCCAGTCAAGTGATACAGAGACCAAACATCTTGATGGAATCAATACATTTTAGTGGACTAAACTGTTCATTGGAGAGAACTACTTACACAGGTAACGTTTAGCATATGATATAAGACTCAACTCTTCAACTATTGCAGAAATTGTATCACTATGTCCATTACTAAAACAATGAAAACTACAAGGCTCAATAACTCTGATTGCACACGGGGGTAAATTCAAAAAAAGAAGACAACCCTACAAAATCCACTTTCATTGCTCATAGCCTGCCCAGGTTTTACGAGTCATATGACCAAAACAACTCAGAGTGACGTGGTTATTTTAGTCACTTCAGTTTTCAAGATTTGAGCATACAGAAAGAAATTGGTTCTGCAATCTGTGAACTAGTTTAGTGACTGAATTAGTAAATTCGGTAGGCTCATTGACTGATTTGATGAAAAAAGCAAAGGAAAAATTGCAACTGCAAATATGAAATCATGGTAAAAAGAAGAAACCAGCACTAGAATAATTTTAGAAATAAATTTAAAAATGAATAGTCCAAATTTCAGTGTCGTCATCATCATCATCCTAGCCTTAATTCCATATGAATGGGATCGGCCACGTGAATTCTCTCATATGTTAACAAACATGAAACTATGACAAAAGATATATTCACTTCGATATTAATTTATTTAGGTCAATTGAACACAAGGAAATCATATTCACAGATGATTATATTGGAAGATGATACAGACTGACATGAAATGATGCCAATTATAAAAATGAATAATGATACTTGATATTAAAAAACTATTCATTCAAAATCTCAAAATATGTAAACATTGCACACTTCACCACAACTATTCAATCAGACAAAAGGCTGCTTGACGTACCCCAGACAAAAATTAGACGAAAACCCAAAAAAAATAAACAGAACACATAAAAATAAGAATCTAAGACAGGCTGCAACGTAAAATTCAAAAATGCAACTGTACATGTCAACAACATAAAATTATGCGGTCATTCTCGACATTTAGCAATCACCCAACATGTACATGTCAACAACATTTCTGAAATTGCATTTCTTGCACATATGTAAGTGAGAGCAGATAGATGTCCACTAGGTAAGCATGGATTAAATATCGGATGATATTAAAGGCACCCAGGAAAGTTCTGCAATTATCATCTCAAGTCAAGGGCCAAACACATGCTTCTGAAATGTCATACTTGTCCTGTGGCTCATGAGCAGTAAGGGGAAAATACTAAGACTTGACATTTCCAAGAAAATAATATTCCTTCACCATCATCATCCTTGCCTTTATCCCGTGCAAACAGGGTCGGCCACATGGATTCTCCTTTTCCATTCTTTTTCTATTCTATGCCATTTCTTCTTCTACTAGATTTAATTTTTGAAATTATTTCTTATCACTTCCATTCCATGTTAGTTTTGGCCGGCCCTCTGTCTCTTACCCTCTATGCAAATCAATCTTCTTTTCCTCACGGGCGCATTTATAGGTCGCCCATACCACCTAAGTCTACTCTCACTTATTTTCTCGCTAATAGGTGCCATGCCTAGTCTCTCCCTAATCCTTTGATTACTAATCCTATCTTTCCTAGTTATTCCTAACATCCATCTTAACATCTGCATTTCCGCCACATGGATGCGTTGTCCGTATTTCTTTTTTCGTGTCCAACATTCCGCACCATAAATCATTGTCATATATACTTTTCCTTTTAATTTATTTGGCATTCGTTTATCACATAGAACCCCACTAGCATTCCTCCACTTCGTCCAACCTATTCCAATTCTACTACTTACGTCTTCATCAATCTCTTCATCCTTTTGTATAATTGATCCCAAGTATCGGAAATAATTACTGAGTAACGTTTTGGTCTAGAAATTTATTACTATATTATCATTTCCTACATCACTACTAAATTTATATTTTATGTATTTAGTTTTAGTTCTTCTAAGTTTCAAGCCTTTTGATTCTAAAGCCACTCTCCAAGCTTTTAATTTTATTGCTAAGGCTTCCTTAGAGATATCCAATAGCACAATGTCATACGCAAATAACATGCACCATGGAAATTTCACCCATGCTTATTCCAAATAAATATGGACTTAGCGCCAAACCTTGGTGTAATCTTACTCTTATGGAAAAATCATTTGTCTCTTCACATATAGTACGAACTCTAATCTTAGAATCCCTATACATATCCTCAATAAGTGCTATAAATATGTTTTTTTTCATAAGCCCCACCAAATCATATCGCTTGGTATCATATACCTTCTCTAAGTGTATAAAAACCATGTGTAGATCTTTGTGCTCACTTCTACACTCCTCCACTTGTTGCCTTAATGGGTAAATGGCCTCTATAATGGATCTTCCCACCATAAATCCAAATTGATTTTCGGACATGGTACAATCTTTTCTTAATCTTTGTTCTATTACCCGTTCCCATAATTTCATAGTGTGAGACATTAATCTAATTCCCCTCCCTTACTTTTTTTTGGTATTATATTACTTTTCCTCCACTCATTGCGCATTGTACCTTCCTCTAAAATTTTATTAAATAAATTTGTTAGCCATTCAACTCCAACTCTTCCTAAGGTTTTCCACTTTTCCATGCTACTATAGGATTATTATCCTTTCCCATTTTTCGTAGTGTGTTTTGCACCTCATTCCTAGGATATTCCTAATTTAGGAGTTGTTGGAAGTAACTTTTTGCCATCTATTCAACATGACATCTTCTTTAACTAATATTTTATAGCTCGATCCATATCTCTACTTATACAAGGCCATATTGATAGAACACCTCTATACCTGAAGGACATGAAGTGCTGGTGTAAAACCATACCAACAACCAAAAGAAACACAATAGAAGAATGTGAAGTACTTAAAGACAACTATAGTATTCATTGACTGATTGTGTTTTATACTTTAATTTATTATTGTGTTAATTTATTATTAGTTCTTCAATTAATTTGTAATTGCTGAAGAATGCCAAGATCTAAAAGACATAGCATAATAATGTCGCAATAAATACAGTACAACCTTTGCTGGCAAACATAATACAACAATGCGAGAACAGGTTTTCATCTCCACAGCCCCTACTATCCCCCTTTTTGGTCCTCGGAATAATATGAAAAAGTAGTTAGTGAAAAAAAGGTAAAAACTGTCTTGTCCTCGTGTATTATTTAACATCCAATATACCATTCCTAAGGATTGCTTGAGCAGTGGACCAATAGATACACAAATATATAGTGAACAAGTGAATGGTGAGTATGACTATTATATAACATATAATTCACTTAAATATTATGTGCATGACATGATTACACCTATGAAGCACAGATACTTCTATAAGAGGGTCGTACTCGTATTGTATTTGCGTGATAAACCAACAGTCCTCAACATACCCATAATTAGCAAAAAAAAAAAAAAAAAAGAAGAAGAGAAAATTTGGTTTCAAACAAGGATTCCTATACTTCTTTTTCTTTTAATTTTTTTTTTAAAAAAAAAAAAATTTGAAATGTAAGAACATTTTGATCTTTTGCACCATTGAAGCGATGTTATAATGACAAAAATGCCTCTTGATATATATTTAAGAAAATTTTGGTTTTCCTTAAAATGATTTTCATGTTAGATTTCTTTTCCTTTTTAATTTTCCAAGAATACAAATTTAAGAAAATTTTAAAAATTATGCATCATTAAAGTGATGTTATAACGACAAAAATGCCACTTGATAAAAATTTAGGTTTTCTTTAAAATGATTTTCATTTTAGGTCTTCTTTTCCTTTTTAATTTTAGAGGAATAAAAATTTAAGGAAAGTTTGAAAATTGTTCTAAAGTATTTTCATTTTCTCATTTTCATGTTAGATTTCTTTTCCTTTTTAATTTTCCAATAATAGAAATTTAAGAAAATTTTAAAAATTATGCATCATTAAAGTGATGTTATAATGACAAAAATGCCACTTGATAAAAATTTAAGAAAATTTAGGTTTTCTTTAAAATGATTTTCATTTTAGGTTTTCTTTTCCTTTTTAATTTTAGAGGAATAGAAATTTAAGGAAATTTTGAAAATTGTTCTAAAGTATTTTCATTTTCACATAGACGCATCTAATAGTTTTTTTATACAAATATAATCCATTATAGAATAAATTTTTTATAAAAATATAATCCATTTAAATATATATATTTTTTTGGAAATAATTTTTAACAACGCTATGTCAAATGAGTTATTGTACTAATTTTAATCTTATAATTGAAAAATAATTCTAAAAAATAACATACTTTCATCCATTGGTATTAAAGTCCTTTGCAAATTCCAATTTTGTGCCATTTTTTTTTAGGGAAAATGCATAAAACCACCTGGTGGACTTTCAATCTTTTTCACTACACCCCTCAACAGCAAGTGTAATTGGGTCCTTTCAACTCACATTTAACGCCAAACTTGACACCATAAGGGCCCCGCAACAATTGGATAGTCCAGGGGGGTTTTATGTCAATTTTTTTGTTAAAAGGGGTTTTGTGAAAAAATTGGATAGTCTAAGGAGGTTTTGTGTAATTTGACTTCAAATGTATACATAGTTACATAAATATTTTAATTTTTATACACATAAAGTATATATACATACACGTTGTCATGTCCTTGCCGCGTATGCATCCTATTTTTTTAAAAAAGAAGAATTTATATTGTTATCCTCGTACTATGTCGTGCCCGTGCTTAATAACTCAACGCACACACCACATACCAATTTTTTTGACGCATTTCAATCAAAGACCATGCATATTACAATTTAGAATTTAGGAAGATCCAATCTTCTTCCTAAAAAGGGTTATGGAACAAAGATTAAGGAATGAAACTAAAGTGTCCAAAAAGCAATTTGGATCTACTATGGAGGCCATTTATTTAATTAAACAAATAATAGAAAAATGTAAAAGCTGGCAAACAGACCAGATTTTTATAAACTTAGAGAAGGCATATGATAGAGTTCCAAATGATATAATATGATGGGCTTTACAAAGAAATGAGATCCTTTAAAGTCTTATAAAGAAACAATTTCTTTTACTAAGAAACAAATTCCTTTAAGACTTAGAGAAGGCATACCTATTTATACTACTCTTGATGAAATATTGAAAGATATATAAGAACACTTCCCATGCTAAACTTGGAAATAAAATTAGAACCATGGAGAAATGCATTAGAAACAAAAGGTATAAAAACTAATAGGAGTAGGACAGAATATATAGAATGTCAATTTGCTAACAACTTGGAAAGAATAATATAACAAATAGCAATCCAAGACCAAAAGGTTACTCAAAGTAATCATTTTCGATACACATAGATGATGATATTACTAGCAGGATTGGAGTAGGATGGACAAAATGTAGATAAGCTATTAGTATCCTATGTCATAAAAAATACCAAGCAAGTTGCAAATTATATAAGTTACCATTAGGACAACTATTTTATACAAAGAGAAGTGTTAGCATTAAAAAAGGAACAATACAATGCATTCATGTAACTGAAATGATAATGTTAAGGTGGATGATAGGAGTAGTTGGGAGTGATAGATTTACTAATCACAGTGCAAGGAAGAGATTGGAAGAAGCAGAAATAAAGTGCTGATTATGAAAGTGCAGTTTAAATCTATTTGATAAGAACGAAGATAAATCCATCAAGGGTCCTACCTATTGATATCTTTCTGTCTGATCTTCGAGACCACCCTTTCTGCTGCATTTCGATTCATAGGTATGGTTAGCTGGATTAGCTTTTAACCAGGCTAGCGGTACAGTTAGTGATTGGAGATGTCACTTAATTGCCCCCACTGGAATTTTCAGTTATTTATATTTTTTATGCACAAATTTTGATAGTTCCTAAATTGCCCCCCACTGAACTTTTATCAAATTCACAAAAGACCGTAAAAATTCAAAAAGATTCCTCATTTTCTAACTCATTTTTCCAATAAAATTTTCAAAATTCAAAAAAGCCCAAGTCTTTTCATCCCTCCAATGGATCCCAAAAAATGTTTAAGAATCAAAATTAAAAAATGACCCCTCCTTGCTATTTATTTTTTTCGTTCAAAATCTCTTATCACATTATTGTTGATGGTTTCCCGTAGATTCCTAGCTCCACCACTGCTTTCAAATCATAGGATTAAGAAAATTTTAATTTTTGCCATTTTAAAAGAAAAACAGGTTCAAAAAGAAGTATGATTTTAAAGGGTTTTTTTTTTATTTTATTTTTTTATCCCATTTTGTTAATTACCTTGCATGTGAAAAAATTCAATTTCAAGATGCAAAAACAAAATAAGATGCACCGTATATCAAAATTATCAATTTTACTATCAATTAATAATTTCAGTGATATGTATAAAATGTTTATCTAAATATCATTCGAAATTGTGAATAATACCATCATTGTTTTAAAAATATATAGTCCCGTACCATGCATTCTGGAAATACTTCTTTTACTTCTTTAAGCAACAATATCAAAGCAGAATTTTGCTTCCAATAGCAGAAAAAGTACTTCCAAAGCCCAAACAAGACCCTATTAAAACATAGAAATTTCATTCCTCAAGACCCATTAAACTATCTCGTAAAAAAAAAAAAAAACCCTCTTTTCCAGATATATAAATCAACATAAAGGACAATTTTGCCCCCAAAAAATTGTCGTCCATTTTGATCAAGTAGACTCATAAAAGAACCAATCTTTACAATATCTAAGAGCCATCAACAAAAGTTACAAAAGAAACCCAATTTCTAAATCTCCAAAAATAAGGGAAAAAACAATAATTCAGTAGTTATTCAACAGAGAAATTAATCTCCAAGTAAAACAGCCAAAACAGCTAAAACCCAGCAAGCAAAACAATCGTATTGCAACACATAAGAAATGGAGCAGAGGACGAGAAGTACCAGATATGGCGGTGTTGAATTTCTGAGACTCCGAGAGAAGAGGAAGAGTTGTAGAGAGAGAAAGAAGAAAAGTAAAACACGGCTAGGGGGCGGCACCCTGCCGTTTACCGATGCAGTTTCCAAGCAACTCGGGTGAAGGCAGTCGTTTGTCTATTGCCATCATCACTTACGTCTTTACCCTACTTTTTATTCAGCTCTTTTCTGAGCCACGTGTTCAGTCCTACACGGTTTAAATATGAGAGAGTCAGAGGTAGTCCAAAACACTCTTGATATTTTACTACTACGTATTCATTCTGTCAATTTTATTATGGAGTATTTTTTATTTATTTGTTTGTTAATAAAAATATAGGGTAAAGTACCAAAAAAAAATTAAAAAAAAAAAAAAAAAAAAACACCTAACCTATATCCAAATTTACAAATAACCTCTATGAAATACATTTTATGTAAAATATTTCCTCCATTATCACATTTTGTTGCAAAATGCTTTTTATACTGGACGGACTTAACAAGAAGTTAGGGGGGCAATTGCCCCCTCTGAAAATTTTTTTTTTTAAGTATTCATTTTTTTTAATAATAAATTAAATTATTTAGCTGTAAATTTAATACTTGCCCCAACAAATTAGCATTGTTGCCCACTCCATCTTCTCACGCGTCTTTTGACTATAATTTTTTAGAATCTTAGTAAAATTAGATCTGCAAACACACACATATATATTAAAAACAAAGCCAAAAAGGGTAAAGCCACAAATGGCAAATACCTTTTAACTTTTTGAGAACTAGCAAAATTAGATTTGCAAACTATTTTACTGAGAGAAAATCGGAAACTAAATTATATATCCAAGAAACTGGAAACTGAAAACTGAAAACTGAAAACTGGAATTATCAATGAACATTTAATTTAATTTAATTTTTTTTTTTTTGTTAAAGCGTTTAATTTGTTTTTGCTTATAAGAATGGTTTCAATTTTCTGGGTCCGTCTCTTGAGTTATTTTTATTAAATGACTATAATGTCCTTTCTTATTCAATTACACTTAATACATTTTTCTTATTAAAATAAATTATAAAAAAAAACATACAAATTTGATAACATATTCTCCATTAAATTTGAAAAATTTTACTATTAATTCTTGAAATTAATTGTTTAAATAAAAATCTTAAGTAAATTTTTTTACAACAATTTAAAAAAATTCTTAATTTTTCATGAATATATTGTATAAAAAAGAAGGTATTTTTTATTTAAGTAATTTATTACTATAATTTTTTATGAATATATTGTATGGAAAAAAAAATGTATTTGTTTATGATAAAAAAATTTAAACTGGCTATAATAAGTTTTATTATAAACAGTAAAGTTATAATAATAAGTTAATCATTTTCAAAAAATGGTAGTTACGACTCTTTTTTTTTTCATTTTTATGATAAACTGATAGTACTAATAAAATTAAGGTAAATGGCATAATTAATATTTAGATAAAAGAAAAAATAATAAAAATAATTTAATAACAAATTTAATGAGAAATGGTAAAAATGGTCTTTTATAATGGTATGTCCATGATTGCACGAAACATTAGTTCAAGAGGGTTAGTTTGTAGTTTGTAGTTTGTAGTTTAGGGGTTTATTTACAAAAAAGCGATATTTCAGGAGTGTTTTTTTTGTACTTTAACCAAAATATATTTTGACTTAATAATTGGCTATATGTTGTCCTCCAATACATCAAGCAGATTGTGAATAGGAGTTGATTGTTTATTTTTTAAAAAACAATAATACAACCTCCAAGACTTAACATTGTATTATGATCTTTACCATGACAGATGCACTTGCATTATAGACCAACTTAAGAAAATTAACTTTTATTTTGTAGAGAGAGATTGCACGGGAGTTGCTCAGGTTTGGATCATAAACAAGCGAATTTGAGTTTGAGCTCGAGTCGATCCATTTATAAGAGTGTTTGAGCTCGGCTCAAGCTTGTTATCAAGATCCCCAAGAATGCAATAATATTTTAAGTTTTTCAAGAACAAAGTAGACACCAAAAAAAAAAAAAAAAAAGAAGAAGAAGAAGAAAAAGAACTAAATTGTTGTAACATTACTTATGAATTATCCACTAACGAACTATTCAACAAAGAGAAATAAATTACAAAAATTAGTGAGTGAAACTATAATTAATAGATTGTAACGACTCACTCCGCCACATGATATGATATTGCCCGCTCTAGGCTGAGCCTTTACGATTTTTGTTATTTGGTTCTACCCTAAAAGGTCTTATACCATTTGGAGTATACAAATCTAGTATATGTAGCACTTCCTATTGCCACACCCAAGCGATGTGATACACCCGTAGCCTGCTAGCGCCTCGCACTGTCATACCCCCCAATTTTCAAACACAAGTTGATCAGGTTCGCACCCGAAGATCGGGAGATATCAAAACAATTAATATTTAACAATCGCATAATACAAGAAGATAAATAATAAAATAATAATAATCGCTGAAAGAAAAACTAAACTAATAAATAATTATTATTAACTCCTCTGATATCAAAACTCCGAATAAAACCAGTAGGTAATAAACCCCTATAGTACAACTCAGGAATCCGTATATCATGGATCCCTAATAGACTCCCATTACTGAAATAATAAATAAATTTCTAAGTTTGAATAACAAAAAACATGAAATAAAATCCTATGTCGATAATCCGGAAGAGTGAAGATAATTGGTCTTTATCTGCACGAACAACCTCTAAGACTGGTGCTGGCGAGGACTTGAAAAATAAATAATGGGTTAGACCCATGAACAAGTTTTTTTCTACTACAATCAAATCAGAGAACCAATAAATGATACATCTCCAACCAAACTCATGCAATAGCTATATAGTCGATATATATATATACACATTAATAGACTTTCTGTTATATATAAGGCACCCTCAACCTGATAAAAGGTATCACCTGAAAAATCACTCATAAAATGGCCAAGAGTCCCCTATATTAGCAGGGCTGTGATGACCGTGTTATCTTTTTCCTTTTTTTCTGCGTTTATTTTTATATTATTTCTTTTTCGTCTTTGGGTCATGTGGGCTCAAGACCGAGTCAAGTGCTCGGAGTTGACTCACAACACTTCATTCATTCCATGCTTGCATGTTTTGCCCTCATATCATCATTGATGTGTATTGCACTTGTATACTCTTTAATATATTTTTTGGCTTTTATTGCGTAGGGATAATTGTGCGATTATGATTGATTGACATTTTTATTATTGGGGGTATTTGTGTAATTATTTTTTATAGATATTTTTATTTGGGGCAAAAGTGCTATTATGTTTTGGAGATATTTCTATTTTGGAATTTTTGTGTGATTATTGAATTTTAGAGGGGTCACTTTGCGATTTTAGGATTCTTCAAGATATTTGTGGATGACAAATATCATCCTATCTATTTCTTATTCTTCTCCCCTCCGTTTCTTTCTCTCTCTTTCTTCTTTTCCTCCGTTTTTTATTTTATTTTTCTCCATGCTCTTTTTCACCCCTTGGGCCATCAACCTCTCACATTTTGGTGCTGCCATAGAAGGGGAAAAGCTCGGGGACCCCATTGGCGACATAACCTTCCATTTTATTTCGGATTCGGAGTATCTTTGTTTTAGAATTTTCTATGTTGCTATCCTAAAGTGAGGTAGGGGGTGTAGTATATCTTTAAACTAATGTTTTCCTTGTCTTTTGGAGTATTTTATATGCTATGCTTGTATAGTGTGAATTGTGGGAGTTTTCATCATGTTTTGTGTATACTCGTTAATGTATCTATGTGGTTATGAGATTCGAATGTGTTTTTGGAATACTTGATAATTATACATTCATCTATATATCCTATTATTTGAGATTGATATATGATTTATATTTAGTCTTATGGACGTGTTGTTAAATCATTTGATATGAATTCATATGTGTGAATAAATGATTGTTTAAGTTGTAGTAGGTTGTTGAGAATAAAATGTTATGATGAGTAAGTTTTATTAGCCTTGATATCATGTATGTTCATTGATATCATTTATACCTATTCCCATGCCATTTTTAGTATTGGAGACTATAGGGCAAGAGATGCTTGATTATGAGATTTTGGTGTGCTTGTGAAGTGCTTAAAGTTGATTATATATGTACGTAATACATTGTGGATTCATTGACGATATTTGGGAGATACTTGGAACATTATTACGTTGAGAATGTGAAGGTTTAGCTCTCACGTGTGAGCTCGGGCTCCCCATTTGTATAGTGGCCACTAGGGTAGTTCCCAGCGGGTTAGTACCCCAATAATAGCTATTTTTTCGGTGCACATTATACGTGTGATCATGTGTGTGTGAGTCTAAGTTATCCCTATTATATGATTTCGGTTGATATTTTCCAAGTTGACCTACATGTGTATGTGCCTTGACTTGATTCGGATTCTAATACTTTTATCATATTATGCTTACATTCGAGACGGTTTTATGAACAACTGCTTGCTTATTAGTTTTAGGCGAACTCTAGGATTAATTTCCCTTGAACTAGACGTTAGACGGCATGTTCTATACTCGTGTAGCATGTGCTATATTTGCGGAGCCAAAGAAACCTAGTTTACCTTTATAATGTATTTTCCTACGGAGTTATTTAAATTACCCAACCTCGTTGATATAACATTTTTTAGCTAAAGAAGTGCTCTTTATGAATGCCCCTTCATCCTAGATTGGATATGTTTTTGTGGATGTTTTGAACTTTTTTTAGATAATGTATCACATGTAATATGTTAAGCATGTTTGGAGTAGTCTTTTGTATATGGAATACTTGTAAGCATGTATATTTTTTAAGAAGGGAAATGGTTCAGGAACATACTCTCATCTTTTGGAGTTTCCGGATGATTTTCACTTCTCTCTGTCACTTTTGTATTTATATGTAAGGGCTCGCGTATGTTTGAGTCCCACACAATGCATGGAGTATTTCA